TTGATTGTAGCGTAGGTCTCAAAAAATTAAAAATTATGAAACAAGGTATGTCATTCATCTGCTTAGGAGGTACTACTTGAAACACTTTTTTTTTTTTTTTTTTTTTTTTTTTTTGGTGAAGGTATGTCATTCATCTGCTTAGGAGGTACTACTTGCCAGCTTCTTTCCACCTTCAAAAGGTGGCCAAAACAAATTCATTCTCACTAATGGAGTCTTTCAACCTCCCCTTACAAGAAAAACACAAAGTACTTTGCTTCTCAGTTTTGTTATCTCTTTGGACTTAGCCAGCAGATTTTAGCATTGCTTCCAGTTACATATTGATCTCCACCGCGGCGTCTCCCAACAGGCAGACTTAGACATCCTCTCGCATGTTGTAGTCTGCTGATTACTCTTCCAAAGTCTAATTATGCTTCTGTAGGTGCTTATGTCCTTCAAGAGGTATCACTTCCCTAGCCCCAAATTCCCAACACTCCTTTATAGATTTATTTTTTATTATCATTGTCCTTCCTGAAGCTTCTGATATTTTTTTTTTTTCCCCTTCTCCTTCCATGTAAGTCTTGTGGGTTCTCACTTTAAGTAGGATAAGTAGGATCAATGTTTTACACCATAGAATGTGAACAAATTTCATTTTATTTAAGTATTTGTGGTTTTTTATAATTTTTATGAAAATGGTTACACGCTATCTCATTAATTGTATACTAATATTCCTTGTGCACTATATTTCAAATTCTTGGCAAGTTTTACTGTTGGAGAACTGCGCTATGTGTCATATCTAACAGTATACTGGTGACCCACAGAAGGTATTAACTTCACTCTGGTAAGAATTTAAAAAAAAAAAAAAATCCTTTCTACATTTTTTAAATCTGGAAAGGGCATCTCCCTGTTTAACTTGTTTGCAAAGCTGCAAAATGTTGAGGAAATAATATTCACAAAGGCTTTCCGGCTGCTCTCTTTACTGCTGGAGGCATGGTGATAAACTTGTTTAAGAGCTATTAGTAAAGACAGCGTTAATACGGTGTAGAAAGAGCCACATCTTCTGTAAGAAAGTCTCTTTCCCTTTCTCCTTCAGTAGCATTTGAAATCTGGAAATTGCTTAAGTGAGAAGAGAAACTTGATTCAAGTCATATACAAGAATAATGTGTAAAAGTTCCTTATTGGTGCTGTTTGGGACTTGTACCATAGCAGCTGGAGAGGGGTAATCTATCAGTTCCTGAGTGTCTACAAAATGCAACTCTCCAGATAACAGGTTTAAAGTAAAGATTTAATACAGGCTCTATCTACTATGATGTTGCAGTGACAGTTTAAAACTCATTCTCTAAATCTCAGCAGACTTTATAGCTAGCAGTGGGCCCATATAAAGCTTAATGGCATTACAACACATAAATCATCTTTTAAAGATGCTACTAGTAGCGCCGATATTAAATGCAGACAATTGTCTGTGTTATAAATAATTTATCAAACACCATTTCAGATTAGCCTTCCATGCTGAGTTATTTATTTTAGCCTTTACTGTACTATTCCTAAGACACGTTTTGAAAGATCCATTACTGGTCACTTTAATGAACTTGGGGGTCTGTTTCCCCCCCCTCAAGCACCGCGGTACATCTGTGGTGACCATTACACGGCTGATCTGGACCTCTTTGCGCCTTTTACAAGTGCCGCCCATTTGTCATGTAGTGGTAAATGGAGTTGCACATTGGAGTCCTGGGACACATTGTGCGATGCGGTGATGGAGACAAACAGATAGCTCTATAAAGTGCTGCTTGTCACCGCTGACTTGTGTTACAGCGCATCACTCTCCCTGTAATCTCATTTCAGAAGCAGTGTGGACCCGAGAGAATGCTATTCCCAGTTAGCTTGGTCTTTGCAACCGTAAAGTAGGAAGTGCTCCTTTTATATACTCTGAACTTTTAGGGTTTTTTAAGATTAATTATTACAGTGCCTCATGCGTGCCCTGTACTTAAGCCTGTGTCAGCACTTTTCATGCCTACCCCCTATTTCCTGATGGAAACCTGCAGTCCTTGCTAGAACTTGGTGTGCAGGATCTGTCAAAGAAGGCTGTAGGTTGTTTGTTGTTTTTTTTTTTTTTTCTTGTGGCTATTCTGGTCATCTTTCTAAATTATGAGAAGAGGAGGAGGAGGAGTAAACAGCATGGAAGCAGTGTTTTCTAAAATTAAAATTATTCCAGGTTCGTGGACTAGGCTGCGCTGTGTCAGATGGAAGAGCTGAGGTTACATTTTAGGCTGTCTCAGTGTAGCGGATGCCTTAGTGCAGTTACAGCTGAGCTCTACTGACTGCACGGGGTATTTTTAGAGCTATTTTGATAACAGTAGGTTGATAGAGTACATTTTTTAAAGTAAATAAAATTTAAATTAGTGAGAGGACTCTGTGAGACTTACATTGTTTAAAAAAGATTAAAAGGGAGAGTGGAACAAACCCCCACCAATCTGCTTTAGTTTTCCTAAGCTGTGGTGCTTTTTTTATACTAACACTCACGTAATAGCTTAAAATTATTCTGGTTTGCTACCACAATTTAAAAAAAAAAAAAACTACACACACTTTAGTATATTTACTGTCACTATAGTACTAAAATACCCTTAGCATGCAACAGATCAGCACAAGTAGTCGTCTATCAGTTGAATGAGGAAGTACTCACTTATCACAGTTTTATTACCAAAAACACCGAAGAAAGGTACAGGAATTATTTTTTCAGTATGGATGTTTTGTTCTGTGTGGCTTGGTAGAAACTGTTGGTTGTTTTTTTGTTTGTTTTTTTTTTTTTTTTTTTTTTTTTTTTTTTTTTTTTTTTGGTAAGAGTGATAAAACTGGGAGTGAAATAAGAATTGATGCTATTTCTCTAGTTTACTGAGGGGAAAAAATGCATCCCTCCTGGTCAGTGCCTTAATGAAGCCGTTAGAAGAGGACTGCTGTTATTAAGCAGCTCTTTTCCAGAGGGCCATCGGAGAATGCGGGGCATGTGCTGGGAGCAGACGTGGTCGTAGCTGAGCTAATTTTGGGCTCCTCTTCAGCCGCACTTGTACGCCGGGGCCCGTGCAGCTGCTGCCCGCTCAGCCGCGCCACGGGGCGGGATCCGGGCAGACACCGAGGCCTTTACAGGCAGCAAAGTTTCTAAAAGCTGCATTTATCAAAATCAGCGTTGAATACTCGCTCTCTTGTTCACAGTCTCTCGTAGCAGATGATTCAAAGGTGCGGAATCCCAGCAGGGATGAGCGATGGTGGTGAACCCGGCCCTCAGCCGTGATCGTGTTGGGCTGAGCAGCAACTGCCGAACACGGCGGGAGGGTCCCCCGGTCCAAGTTTCTGTGCTTCAGACACGGTTTAGTCTTTTTCTTTCTTTACTGGACCCCGTACGCTTCAGTCGGGAGTTGTCAAGGAAGGTTGTTCTACGCCTTTGAGGGGAATGAAGGGTCTCGGGTTCCCGGTGGGTACTCGGGAGGCTCCTGAGCAGCCGGGGGTGTGGGGGCACAGCCCGGAGGCCCTCGGCAGGTGGCGGGAGTTGGCGGGGGCTCTGCGCAGGCCTGGGGTCCGGGACCACCGGGGACCGCGGGCAGGAGGGACTCGGCCCCGGCCCCACACGCGGGCAGTGCCGTGCCCTCGGTGGCGGGGACAGAGCACAGGCCTGCACCCGGCTTTTACCAGAGGGAACACGACAGATGAGGTCAGCAGCTCTGCAGCGTGTCTTCACGCTCACCTCCCTCAGTTACGGCGAGGAACTACGCGATCGCCGCCTGCAGCAGGTTATTTCCAGTGGCCCCGGATCTGTGTGTGGTTTTTCAGCGAGGCCTTTGAAACCGAGCGAAGCGCTGCCCGGGGGCTGTAGAGGGAGCCCGCGCCGCTGCGATGGCCTCTCCTCTTCCTCCTCCTCCTCCTCCTGCAGCGGGGCCGTGGGGCAGAGCCAGGCGTCTCCTCCCCATCCCGGCAGCACCCGCCGCGGCTCCGACCGGAGGGGGATGATGCTTACGGCCTGCTGTAGTATTTTAGTGGAGCCTTTGATGCATTGGAAATGTTTCCTCGTCAGAGACACTCATCTGAATGTTGCTTCTGTTTGTGTCACACAGGCTCCGGGTCCTTCAGGCTCTTTTGACGGTTCTAAACAGTGAATTCCTGAGAGCGAGGTGCAGGGTGCGCATTTCAGCAGCTGCACGTTTGCCCTTTTGAAAGGAAGTTGATACACAAAACCTCTAAGCAAACTTTAGAACTTTTGGAGGATTAGTGCATGGCTTCAGAAGCAATAAACGCTTTATTTCCTGTTCTACTTCTGTTGCAAATATGGTTCTACTAGCTGCGAATTTAGAAATAGGCTTTTGAAATATGTAAATACTTTGTGCCTTAAATGAACTATATTAAATACATATTTTGCTTTAATTACCAATGGAATTTCTGAAGTGTGTAGCAGAAAAGAAACTAGCAAATTTTCTATTTTTTCACTTAAATGAACTTAATTACACGTTGCTGTATTTTGACAGAGGTATCTAGTTGGACCAGTGGTTTCAGCAGGTTCCTTGAAATTCTCTGTACTTGTGTTCAGGACTGGAATTGAAGGTATTAGCCAGCCCTGGGTCAGTGCAGGCCAAAGCTGCTTTGCAGCACACGTACTATTAAGATGAGATGAATAAATTTTGCAAACCAGGCTATTGTACAAAATCACAGAAATAATTTTGGTACTACAGAGGATGATTAAATAGTCCCTACCTAGGGAAGTCTTGTAACTAAACTAGGCAGAATCCTTAATTTGTATGCAGTGTTACACAGAGGGCACTACAGGGAACTCCTAACGTGCACGTGCACAAAAGCCTGGAAGATGAAACTTGGAGAATTTTTCTCCATTCGTTAAAGCAGAAGAAAAAAAAAGTATCTTAATTTTGCTTCTTTGACTGTCTTCACCAAGTCTGGTCCGTCCTGGGGGGTGAGGTTGTGCCTGCCCTCCTGACTCCCGGCCGGGCCTCGCGTGTGCAACAACGGACTTTTAACTCTTCCAGGAGGAGGAAGCCAAGCAGCTTGTGAGAGATGCCATCGCAGCTGGCATCTACAACGACCTGGGCTCCGGCAGCAACATCGATATCTGTGTTATAAGCAAGAACAAGTTGGATTTTCTCCGTCCATACGATGTGGCCAACAGAAAGGGGGACAGGTCGGTATTCCTGAAGCTCTCCGAGCTCTTCCCAGCAATCCCGATTTCCCGTAATACTAAATTTTGTCAGTATATTGAATTTCAAGTAAACAAGCAAACAAAACTAGTGGCTGCAGCTGAGCAGAGCTGCTGGGGCAAGCACTGCTGTGTGAAGGAAACAAAGGAATTGCCTTGCTGCTTCACCAGGCCCCGGGGCTGCTCTGGTGTCAGGCCCTGGGAGGGAGCTCTGCAGCCCTACACTTGTGATGGGGCAGATACTTGGGTTTCTTTTGCTGTCAGGCAGCAACCTCACTTTGTTTGCCGTGTTCTTGCTGAAATTCGTCTGGTGTCAAAGCGGAGCAGCACCACGGTGCCCTCTGCAGTCCCGCCTGATCCCGCCGGGGGTGTGACAGGGTGCTGCTGGGCGTGACCAACCGTGAGAAAACTCCCTGACCCCAGCCTGGGACTGTGAGGTTGTGTTTGATTCTATTTCTCGAGGCCCCCTCCTAGCCAGGGACTGCAGAACATGCTCTGTGCAAGATTAAGACAACACAGGCATGGTTTTGATCACTACAGTTTCCCCAAAATTGTCCAAAAATACACTGATGTTGAAAGGACAGTTTCCAGGTAATGGCTAAATACAGCAGTCACAAGAGGGTTGTTTTTGGTTTTTTTTTTTTAAGTTGGCCAAAACATGAGTCCCCTTTCATGTATTAAACTAAAAAAGTGCCTGTAAGCATTCATGCTTTCCTAATCAAAGTCCTCTCAACCATTCCCACTATGTAGAAACTGGTGCTTTTCCCCCCTCCCCTTTGGCAGGTTCCATCAGAGGTTTCTGCACAGCCCCCCCTTTGCAATTCTCCTGAAAGCCCCGGGAGGGGTTACACAGCCTGTGCAGCTATTGTAAATGCTTCACAGAGGTGACCTTTACTCTGTCGCTTGTTTCCTTAAGACGGTAGTTCTGAACCTCTTAAAAATTTTGTCATGAACATTCAAGCATGGAGCTGTCTGGGAGCACGGTTACGTTTAGGTACGCGTTCCGTGGTCTCGTGTTAGGGATAAATTGAGGATCCGGAGGTGATGAAATTCTGAAGTGGTGGTGGAGGAGCTGGCAAACGTTCCTTCTGAACGCTCGGGTCTGTCGTTTGATGAACCGTGCTGCCTCATCAGTGAAATCACAGCCCCCAAGGCAGTACAGGATTTTGCAATATGTACTTTTCTGTTACGTGTAACAAGTTGTGCAACTTCTCAGTCCACTGCCAAAATAGTAGAATGTAAAGAAACTGCTTTTCCCCTTTTTAAGGCAGATGCTATTGCCACTGTTCCAGGTAGAGGATTTGGATTCCCTCAGTGCAGTGCCTCATTCTGAGCAGAAATGGCTCTGGGAGCTCAGCTCAGAGAGTTTTTATTACTTATTTATTATTTGAAGTGAGATTTGCATTCTTCTCTGTAAGTGGGTGAAAAGGGCGACAGCTCCTTTAGCCAGGTGCAGTTCAGGTTTTGGAAGTGTGGCTCGATTCGAGGCAGTCTTTGTGTTAAGTGTAGGCTAATTTTAGCACAGAACTCCAAAGCTAACGCATAGGTAAAATTATTCTAAATGAGTTGCAAAAAATAAATAAATTGCTTGATCTTTGAGCAACGATGTCCTACACTATAATGAGACCCCCACTCCTACAGAAGAGCCTTTCCAGTTAGTCAGTAATTATTTTTTTGAAGACTCTTTATGTTTCCTAAAACCCACTGGTTTATCTGAAACTCAGTTACTGCAGTTGGTTTAGATTTTGCAGCAAGTACAGTTCCTTTACTCTGGACCTTCCTAGAAAACTTCTAGAGAAAGCTGATCAGGTCTAAAATTTTAAATGCATTTTTCCAGCTTAATTTTCACCTATTTCTTTAACAGGTATGGTAGGTACAAGTGTGAAAAAGGAACAACTGCTGTGCTGACAGAGAATGTGGCACTGCTGGAAATCGAGGTGGTGGACGAGACGGTACAAACCATGGACACGTCCTGAACGGCCCCGGGCAAGCAGCGGGAGCGTATTCCGGCACCTTCCCGAGAAACCTCCGCCAGGACAGAATAAAGAGGGTTCTGACCATGATGAGCGTGTTTGTGGTGCTGATTTGCTGCTGCTTCTCCCTTCTTAAACTGCTGAAAAGGTGAGGCTCTTGCAGAGCAGGGCGGCAGCCTCTTCCCCCTCTCCTCAGTGGCTGCCTGGGAAGGAGAATCGGGCTCCTGGCACCGGGGTGGAGAAACCACCCAGTGCAGCAGCTGGTTTGTTACTTCACTCTGGGAGCAGAGCAGCCCGGGTAGTGCCGGGCTTACACAGGCTGATCCGAAGGGGTTTGATTTACCATAATGTTCTGTTCTTGATGGAGCCCCACCTGAGCAAGAAGTGACAGGAAAGTGGTGAGCAGAGGTTCCGAGCTGCTGACCTGGACCTACAGCCTGGAGGGAAGGAGTTCTGGTTACCGGGGGCTGCTCACGCTCCTCCTTGCCTCCTGTCTGTGCGTGGAGACACTGTGGGGCAGGTCCAACCCCCACAGCTGAACGCAGCATCATTCAGACTCTGCCTCGTTACTTGCCTCCACTTGGACTTTTTTTGTCCTAAAACCAAAGCTTGTGGTGTTTGAGACGATTAACTGATTTCAGACTGTTCCATACTACAGTACCACATAATCCGGGGGGGGGGGAAGCTAGCAGAAAATCCCTTTGCAGACTTATTTTCTCATTTAGTGGAAAGGGCAGGGCCCTCACCCAGGGTCAGCTCCAGAAGGGTGACTGCTACCAGGCCCCCGTCTGCGCAGCCCACGACAACCGTCCGGAAAAACGGCTTCAGCTGTGCCCCGGGTCAGAGGGTAAAGGCTCTCATACCCAGATTTCCATCAGGACAACCACTACAGATCACTGGTCCGTTTGTCCATCTCCTGGAGAAGGATCTCCATGTGAGAGCTGGTAGGGAGAGTTTCACACTTATTTACATCAGTTTTCAGTGGTTTGTTACATTTTTTTATGTATTTCTTTTTTAATAGGGGACTTTTTTTTAAACAAAGGTTTTTATTTTGTAAATATTTTTTTTATTTATCTAAAAAGACACAATTGCAAAAAAATTACCTTTTGAAATACATTTACTTATAAGCACTACTAAATTTTATGTAGCAGGAAAGTGACTGGGCCCCTCGAGATCCTCCCGGTGAAGCTCCCCTGGAGCCCGAGCTGCTCCGTGCGACAGGGCGAGGCGCAGCACGCCAGGGCCTGGAGGAAAGCTGCAGTGGACCAGTGACAGTCTTCACTCTTAAATCTAAGAATTGCTAAAGAAGCTGGGTATAAATTAAACACGTTAGCATGGGAATGTTGGAAGCAATTTGGTGCCTCCACTGCATTCTCATGCTGATTTGAATTTCCTGAATCTCATGAGAGCAGCAGGCTCAACTTTCTGCTGAGAAGACTCAATAAAACGGCACCTTGCATTAATGATACCAACATTATTCACAGCAATTAATAGCTTCTCTTTGCTACCCTAGATAAATATTTTGAAATTTGACAGGAAGTACTTGAAGATGGCACTGCAGCTTTCCTTTAAGTAGAGCAAATTAGGTTAAAAAAAAAAATAAAAAATCCACTAAAAGCATATATATGTATGTAACCCTCTAACCCTAACCTTATTTCCAAAAAATTAAGAGCTGTATGCTTTTCTTAAGAAAACAAGCAGGCACAGGCTGCATTGGAAGTGTCACACACAAACCGACTCCGGGCCTTGGGGCCGTCGTGGCGGCGCTGACAGAACCGCCCTGGCCCTGCCCCGCTGGGGCCCTCGCGAAGGTCGAGGTGCAGCCTCCTTCCTCCCAACAGGCGAATGAAATGGAAACACTTGAACGTGAATCCACGTTTGTTCCTAAAGCAGTGAATATCTCATCGACAGTAACGACACAAATCATTGATTCAATGAATGAATTTAGCTGGTTGAAAATTTTTCATGTAGTTAAAGAAGATGACTCCTTCAAATCAGGTTGCGATTTTATAAAAAATTCACATTCTGTAAATAATTAGCTTTCACAGTTAAAATAGACAGGGGCTGATCCTCATGTAGAATTAGATACGGAAAGCATTTTATGTTTTTCTGTTTCAAAATTTTTCAAAGTGTTTAAAACACTGCTTTGCTTAAGTTTTCCCTAGAGTACCTACCTAGCGCACTACTGAACCTGTCAAAGTATCTTCACCAAGATCGAGTTGGCTTAGATAAACACTGGTTTTCAGCAAGAACCTGTAGTCTAAAAAGAATCATGGCAAAGGGGAAAATAAGTTTAAAGAGAAATTATTTGCAGAAGCAATGCTTGTTTTTGGGTTGGTTTGGCATGTTTTTCCCCAGGTACATGCTTAACTCCTCTCACTGGCCTCAGCCAAGTTAACAGATAAATGCATCAGCAAAATACTCACTCTAAGGTTTCAGTTAAAAAAAAGAAATCTTGAAACAAATGTGTTTCCCACCCCCCGACCCTTCCCAGTTCCTAAGTCTGAAGAGGAGGGAATTAATAAAAACACATAAATGGCTGCTTTAAAATATACGAAGTAAAAACTGAATTTGCTATTAACCATTTGCAGAAGAGGCAAAGTAGCAGTTACACAAATTACACAAAATCTACTGTAATTCTTACATTAATATAAAGTGATTTCACTGAAGGAATTATTTCAATATTTCACATTACAGTTAAGATAGAAGGGCTGTGGCAGATGCTCCGACACCCTTGTTAATATCTATCCTAGATTACACACGACAGTTTTAAGAAAGGACCCTTAAATGATCTACATCTGTAACATGTTATTGGCCTTAAAAAAAAAAAAAAAAATCACTTGCAATACCTCACAGAATCTTCACTTTAAAGCACGACCACCTTGTAAGAGTCCTTGTCAAATAACCTGCAGAAATAATGGAGCCTCTTGCTGAGTGCTCAACCCTCTCGCTGTGTGACTGGGCACCAGTCGGTTTCGTCTGAGAAAAAAAATTCAAGTAAGACTGAGCTGTGCTGGCGTCTTGAGAGCGTCCGCAGCGGTTCATGTGCTGGAGGTCCAAACATGCATTTGTTTTGCTATTTGGTGCACGTAACCAATGTCGGGTCTCTGGTCTGGATCAGGGTATATGCACATGCTGACCAGCTCCCGCAGCTGGAAGAGAGAAGAGGCAGCAGCGTGAGCTGGGACGGGGGCAGGCTGGGACCCCCTCGGGCAGCCCGCAGGCTGTCCAGTCCCTGCCCGCCCCCCCCAAAGGCCCAGGAAGAACCTTTTTCACCCAAACCTTCAGCACTGAAGATTTAGATCTTCACCACGACCCCGCGTGGAGTTCACATTGTCCTGTACGGGGTGCTGCTGGCACACAGGGGCCCAGGGCTGCCCCGCGGTCACGAGGCTCCAGCCGCCGCCTCTGCCCCGCAGCTCCTGACACAGAGCCTTTCAGAGATTTTTTTTTTTTCTTCTTTTCTCTGAAAAATCTTTTTTTGCTGGGGGATTTTTGATTCACTTCAGAGAACCCAAACAGCGATGACCCGTATCATCAGCTGACCAGCACAGCTCGTGGTCAGCCGGCGGGTGAAGCGGGAGAGGGTGGGTAGGTGGGTGGGATGGGAGCCCGGCCCAGGGGCACCCCGGGGAGACACGAGGGCCGGGGGGGCAGCGCGGGAACGGGGGCACCAGCAGCACGAGCAGGGCACGGCCCAAGGAATGGGAAATCACTGCCAGAAATCCAACCCAGCGGGGATGGACTGGCCATGCAAAGGGACTCTGAGGCAAGGGGGAGGTAGAGGGAGGGGTTTAAGGCCGTGTCCTGTACAACCTGCACCTCCCTTCCCGCCCCAATCCCTCCCACCAGGCCGGCTCAAGCTTTTCAGTGCACAAAGGCTGAACAGCACTTGTGTATCTTAAGACAGGGGCGTGCAGCTGTCAGACACCAGTTTCCTAAAAACCTTCGCAAAGAAGAGAGACTGGCCATTGATTATGTTTAATAAATAAAATGCAGAAGGGCTGAAGGCTCCCCACCTCCCAACCCTCTTTACTGTGCACATGAAAGATTGTAGCTTTTAATTATACAGACGCTGAAAGCTGCTCATACCCCCGAGGCACCAGGAGAAACAGCCTTGAGCCTCTGATCTTCTCACATCCTCCCAGTAGCCACAGTGCCAATTATTTTAATGGTAATTAAAAGCATGACCATACATCTATCAAGCACACAGCTTCAGCTGCGTTATCCTCCTACTGGAGCGAGGGCTCTGGCTCCGGACGGAGCAGGGCCCCGTGCCTCGCTGGGGACGGCGGCGGGCCGGGCCCTGGTGCTGCGGGTGGGAACAGCGGCCGCAGCC